TTGTTCATTAATAAAACAACAGTGCACATGGAACAATGTACTGAGGGGTCCTTTGGTGACAGGAAGGGGTTCACTGTATGTCTCCTCAGGCAGCCAATTCGATGTTAATACTGTGTTAATCACTCTCTTGCTGCCTTCCTAGCTCATACTTATGAAATATTCCAACTTGCACACAGCCCTGGCTGCATGCCTCTGGCCAGGACTTTCGGTCTCCCCTAGGGAGACATTCGCTTTCCTTGCACATGTGGAGTTGAACTTTTCTTCTCCCCTTTCTGCTTAGTAAGCAGACCCTGAGCAACTCCACACCTGCATCTTATTCTGTGCGCAAGCAAAGCCAAAGGGTAAAGAAGCTGGTCTTGAAGGGTGTGGGTGTGCAGGGAATAGTGTAGGACTCCAGAGAACCCCTGGGAGCTTTTACTATTAAAAGTTCTCCTCCTTGGAGCTGCTCTTTTCCTACAGCTAGGAGGTTCTATAGAGATCCATAATTTCAGACCAATTGATAATGATCCTTATTGATTATTGACTGATACAGACATTGGCTATGGCCTTTAAGGATCAACTACTGCTTCCTCTTTGCTTACCTTTTAGTTGAATAAAATGCAAATTTCTTCTTGGGTCCCCAACAGGGAAGACTTTGAAACAAAGGAGAAAATAAAAAATCAAAGACCTGTCCTCTTCTCAAATTTAACACTTCCAACATTTATGTAGCGAAGATATACTTACTCCACTTAGAACGGCATTACCTGCTGCCTGAACAACCAAATCTCTACTGTGATGGTTAATCTTGGTTGTCAGTTTGAATGGACTGGAAAACACCCAGGGAAGGAATAAAACACACTTCCGCATGTGTCTACAAGGGTGTTTCCAGAGAAGGCTGGTGTGTGGGACAGCGAATTGAGGGGAAGACCCACCCTGAATATGGGTGACATCGTCCAATAGGCTGGGGGCCCAGATAGAGCAAATGCAGGAGGAGGGGCACCAGCACAGGCTCTCCTCCTTCCCCGCCTCAGTCTCTTTCCTGCCACCATGAGGTGTGAAAATCATGCTGTGTCAATGTGAATGTGAATGGACATCAGAAAAGCACAGCTCTGGGTGTGTCTGTGGATGACTGAATTGTAGGCCAGCAGGCTGAGACAGGAAGGCCCAGACCAGATGTGGATGGCACTAAGCAATAGTCTAGTAGCCTGAACAAGACAAAAGCAATATGAAGAAGGGAGTATGCTGTTTTGAAAAAGCTCCACTCATCCCCATTTCCTTTACACCTGGTCTCTTTCCTTCAGCCTTCCAATACAGACTCACTCTGGTAACTCTACACGGAGCATCCAGGCCTTCTACCTTGGACTGATGCTGCCTTCTTGATCCCTCTTGATCCATCTTCCTGGGCTGAATGGCTCCTGGACCACTCAGCTCTCCAGTATGCAGACAGCCACTGTGGACTCTCCCACCTCTGATTTGTAAGCCTTGCATAATTATACAGAGTCTCCCTTGAGTGTGCTCTTCTAGAGAACCTCACATGTGGGGTAAGCAGCTGTACCGGGCCATCTCCTTCTGCTGTCGGGTTCATCTGTGGCCTAGAGCAACAGAGACTGTTGCTCTTCGCCATGGACTGAAACTTCTGGAATCATGAGCCAAAACAATTCCTCTTTTAAGCTGCTTTGTTCAGATATTTTATCAGAGCAGTAGAAAGCTAAAAAGTGCAGGTGATTTGAGAGAAGTTGCCAACATAGATACCAATATCTGTGTGCTCACTCCTAGTGGACAGAGGCTGGGTCTGCAGGCATATAAATACTTTCCAGACATTTTCCTTGCCGTCCCACACCGTCACCAGGGCGCTTCTTGGCTCATGAGGTAACATTATGAAACACACAGCCCTGATCATGTTGGGTTTTCTATGAAGTGACATTTAGATCATGTTTTCTGTCCCTTTCTTGAGCTGGGAATGAGCAGTGACATTTTTGATGGAGTCACTTGCTAAGAGCTGGAATAATGATTTCTTTCCTAGCCACTGAGCTGTAGGGCTGGGTGGCTGCAGGTCCACATGCTAACATGTATTTTCTTTCTTAAAGAGCATTGAATAATGCCAATATTTATTTACCAGACACATATTGCACTCTGAGTACTGTGCTACGTCTTTTATAGATGGCTGCATGTATTCTCCATCATTTGGGGTATAGTACATGGTAAATAGACTAAAAGTAAAAATACCACTCATAGTTGAAAGAAAAACAAAATATGGCATGTACACATAACAGCATATTTTTCAGCCTTAAAAAGGAAGGAAATTGTGATATTTGCTGCACTAAATAAAATATTATGATAAATCAGCCAGTAATAAAAGGGACAATATTGAATGATTCCTCTTATGTGAGATTCCTAGAGTCATTAAAACTGTACAAATAGAGAGCAGAACGGTGTTTTCTGATGGCTGAGAAGGGGAAGTGGAGAGTTAGTGTCTTGTAGGAACAGATTTCAGTTTGGGAAGATGATTAAGTTCTAGAAAAGGATGGTGATATTTAATGGCACAGCACTACTTTTAAAAATAATCCAAGTGATGTAGTTTATGTTTTGTAAAACAGCCACAGTAAAAAAGTGAACACACTGTCACATGAGAAGAATTCTGTGTTGCAGTGTTTGTGTTGGATGAGTCTGGGGATTCTTATCCTAAAACTTCTCTTTTGTCAACCCACTGTCCAGAGACTTAGCTCTCTGGTTTTGTAATGGTGTGGCTGGTTTTCTAGAAACTACCTACACAACCCTTATCCCAGTGTCCTGAACACAAGAAGTTCCCTTTTTCTATTCACAGCTGTATGTTTAATTTGCCTCTGGATAGATAGGGTAACTTTCCTGTGTTCTCTTGAATATTTATCTCCTTGGATTTCTTTCACTTCCTCCTTAGAAACTCTACAGAGAACGTTGCAACCTCTCTGGCCTGCCCAGGCCTGGCACCCATCCCCACCAGGCCTGTGCATCTGAAGAGGCCCATTCCTTTCCACTGAAGACACCAGGGACACTGACCCACTGCATCCACCATGAATGATGGGGCTGAGAATTATTGTGGTTTGTCCCCAAGAGGTGCAGGCGCTGGAAGCTTGATCTCTGGTGTGTGATGTGAGAGGCAATGGAACCTTTTAGGGGTGGGGCCTCCTGGGTGGTGCTTCAACCACAGGGGTCTGGCCACAGAAGAATGAAATCTTCCTCACCAACCTCAGTTCCCACCAAAGCGAGTTGTTACAGAAAAGCAAGCCCGACTCTTTGCTCCTCTCTGTCTTGCATGTGACCTCTTCCTACATATGCCCCCAAGAGTCAGAACAATGGGAAACATTTGCTCATAACGATGTTGTTGTAACACTGAAAAGCGTCCTAACACAGCCCAACTCTACTATGATGTGGCCGTTAGGTCTGGTCTTGTACAGATGGCACCGCCTGGTCATTTTCCATGATGGTGACTGTCCCTGAAGTAGAACACCCCAACAAATCATTGCCAGAGGTGGCTAGCTTCCTTTAGAGATATCTTTTGCTTGGTACTGATGATAACTGATTTTTACTCCTTGGTAATTGGTTACTTTTGTTATCCTTCAAATGCTTCCATGAGCCCATGTGTCTCCACAGCTTGGTGAGGTAGGCTGTGACATCCAAGTTTTATTCTTTTAGGGGACAGTGAGGGAAATAAGACTAAACATATGAGGAGCTCTGCCCAACACTAAGGTTCTCAAGTTTGAGTGAATTTCAGATGCCCCTGGAAGGGCTATGAAAGCTTGAAGGGATGGAAGGGCCTGGGAGCCTGCATTTCTCATGAGCCCCTAGGTTCTGCTGCCAACCGGGGCCACTCTGAGAGGCCCTGGCCTCAGGTCACAAAACTCTCAGGTGGTAGAACCAAGTTGAGTGTTTCCTCCTGTCTGAGTGCTAGCCACCTACTGACCAGCTTGTGTGAAGAAGATGCAATGGCAGTTCATAAAACGGACCCCTGAGGAATGAACTGCCCAAAACAGGGTCATGGTCTTGTAATTAGGCAGTGGCGTACACTCCACTAAAAGGCAGGAGTCCTGTGTTTCTCCTTCTCAAAGCTTCGACCCTGGTCAATCCTCAATGGCTTTTTTCTCTAAGGAGCATGGAAACTACCAAGGGAAATCCTCTATGTGGTCAGAGTACTGATGCTGAGCTGCACTTCTCGGTCCTAGGGAAAGCTGGTGGGCCCAGCGCTCCTTCTAAGCCACAGAACCTGCTGGAAAGTCTGCACTGGCCAGCAGCTCACGTCCTGGGACTCGATAAGTTGAGTATCTATTGAGGAGATGTTCTGTAAGTACTCGTTGGAGTTGATGCCTTTGTCAGGGACTACTGTGTGCCTGGGGGCTTCCTTTATCACACACACACACACACACACACACACACACACTCACTCACACACATGCACTCTCATACACACACACACAGCAACACATATACACAGACACTGACATGCAAATACAAGCACTCACACTGACACAAATAGTGACACACACTAACACACTGACACACACCAACATATAGAAACACACATACACACTAACACACTGACCCATTGAAACACACACAGGCATGCTCACTGGTGCACTGACACACTCATACACATACACAAACACCCTCACTGATACATTGACACATCCATGCATCCATCCCACCACACTCACTGACATACACTGACGCTCATACTGATACATGTTGACAGACACACAAACACACACGTCCACTACACAAAGACACACACAAGCATACATATACACTGGCTGACACCGACAGACACACTGGCACACAGACTCACTGGCATATGCATACACTGGCTCTCACATAGTAATTTATTGCTTCAGTCTTATATGTGACACAAATCATTTTAACTTTTGTTAAGTGCCCGAGAGAGTGTTTCAGTCTCCTGGTGGAAACAAATACTTACTCAGTGTAAGTGTGCATGTGTGTATGTGTATGTGTGAGTGTGCGTGTGTGTATGTGTATGTGTGAGTGTTGCAGGTGACAGAGCCCGGTGAGGCCGAAGCCCCGACAGGCAGAGGCCCTGCCGGAGTTCTGACCCTCTGCTGCCCAGCTCTGCCTGTGAGGTCCACACCTCCGCCTTGCCCAGCCGCAGACCTCCAGGCCTGGGAACTGGACCTTGATGTGGTGCCCTGTTCATTATTTACTTGCTTCCACTTCCTCCAGCCTGGCCAACAGCAATAGGGAGCTCTCTGGTTTATGTGCTGCGAATGTTGAAAAATTCAGTCACACTGGAGCCTGTTTGTGCTTAAACTTTTGATATCTCGTTCACTATGGACTCTTTCACATATTTTTATGGTGTTCCATTAAAGTGTCATTTATTTCCGTGAGTGCTTTTCAGGGACCCTTGAAGCTGTTCACGTGGGACCAGTACCTCCCTCTCCTCACCGTCATCAAGCTGTAAGTCAGTGTTCCGTCCCCAGATGGCCACTTGCCTGACTCCTGGACAGCTAAAGAAACCGTACGGGGACTATCGGTGGGGTGGGTGAGATTCTCCGCAACACGCCATCCGCGCTCACAGACCGCTCTGTGTCACCTCTCGCTCCCTCTCACGGCAGGGGACACCGTCTGACTTCTTTAACTGCACCCTCCGAAGCAGAGACACCTGTTTCAGGGACAGCTACTGAGTAGATGGTCCGTAAGTACTTGTTCGGTGAATTAACAACCTTGCGAGGCAAGTCTTGTCATTATCCTCACTGTACAAACTAAGATGCGGAGAGTTTGGAGGAGTCTCATCACGGGCCTGCTGACACATCCAGGCGTGGTGGGGCCAGTCCCCTACAGGTCCTGTGCTCCGGACAAGTGATCTCTGTTTCTTCTACTGCACGTGATGTCGGGGTGCTGTACCTGCAAGTGTCCCCTGCCCCCGGGGGTTCATAGTTGTTACCTCTGGGAAATCAAAATAACTGGGATTGGATGTTTCTATTTTTTCTTATAGGACATGAACATTTTTATACTGCCAGTCACAGCTAATCCTTCTACTTTCTTTTTCAAAAATCCTTTCCAGTTTGAGCAATTTGCCCTGCTTGTGACCTGGAACAAAGATGTGGAGACTCCCAAGCAATCACGGACGTGGGGCTGCTTCTCTGCTGGATGGTGAGACTTTGGAGCCCATCCTTGGGTCAATACCCTCTTTAACTGTCTGCCAGCCACTCCGACTTGTGTGGGGTCTGCTCAAGACTGTCTGAACATAATGACCCAGAATCTCAACCTAAAATAGAATACTAATACCAGGATGTTTCCACTACGTCCTGATTCATTCCATAAGACAAGAATGCACAGAATTATAGTTAGTTGTATACATGTAGCTCCAGCCTCCTTTCCGCTAGGAAGAGGGGCCTTTGCCTCAGTCAGAGTGGGGAAGGAGCGCTGGTCTCAGGACTCAGAAAGCCAGTGGGTAAGGGCAAAGAACTTCAGCTGTCATCTACAGGAAATTATTGTTCTAGAGTAGTGGCCAGCAGACTTTTCTGCAAAGAGCCAAAAATAAGTATTGTAGGCATTGAAGGTTGTGTAGACTTTCTTACAACTACTACTCAGCTCACCTCCAAAAGCAGCCATAGACTAAATGGAAATATGAGCATGGCTGTGTTCCAATAAAACTTTATTTACAAAAGCAGACACTGGGCCAGCTTCGGTTCACAAGACAAGATGTGACTTGCCAAGTCTGATGTAGAATGCCACTTCCCTTTGCCGAATGGCATTATGCTGGTTTATCTCTGCATTCCCAGTCCAAATACGGGGACCATTAACAATGGTGGTAGCTGAGCTTTAGCACTTATTATTACAGCACTGGCTGCATGTATGCAGAGACTCTGCTGTTGGGCCTGCAGAAGCGATAATTTGTGCCGCCCTCTCCATCTCCCCTCCCACCCCTACTCCAGGTCCCTCCTCTCTGTCCGACTTGAATGGTCATCACAGAGGAGTTCTAATTGGGCATCTTTTCCGCCCTGCCCGCCCTGTTCAGTTTTCTACCCCAAAGCTTGAGAGACCTTTTAAACATGTGCACGAAATCATATCACCCCTCTACTAAAGCCCCACAGCAACTTCCCACCACTCTTAGGATTAAAATTCTGTCCTCTGACCCTGAGAACCCCAGAAGGCTTGGCCTCGCCCACCTGCTCCCCTTGCCCCTGGCCCTTGCTTTCTGGGCTCGAGCCACGGCGGCTTGTTCCAAGTTCCCTAACTCACCTCAGCCTCCCCGCAAGTTCCTTTACCCTGGAGTTTCCGATCCCTCTTTGCTCTTGGTTAGGACCTCTGTCTTCACCTCAGTGGTCACTTCCCCAGTGCAGCCTCTTCTGACCCCAAATGAGGTCAGGACCCCCTGTTATTCTTCCCTGCACTCCCTGAATTTTTATTTAGGTGGGTGAATTGTTCCTCATGTCTCTGTGGAATCTGGCTCCTGCTTAGCCCACAAGCTCCATGAGGGCAATGACCAGGCATGTCATATTTAAGCTATGTCCTAGGCACCTAGTAAAGCACCTTGTAGCGGGTACTCTGTAAGTACTTAATGAGTCACGGGGTGGACATGTCTGATGGAGCCAGGCCCTCACTCAGAGTATTGGCAGGAGGCTTAGGGTGGTTAATGGAAAGAAAGGGGGCACAGAAAGAGGCGGTGACCAGCACTTTGAGTGTCATTCAGTCTCGAGGGAGGTGTGCAGAGGGTGACAGCTGTGTGCCAAAGGAAGAGGGGGATCGTGTGCAGGGCGTGGAGTGTGTGATCTGCTCAGGACGGGGAAGCCGGCATCTGGGTCCCAACTGGCAGTGCCTAGAAAAACACGTGTTGTCACGGTCTGGGGAAGAGCTTCCTTCTTGCCATTTCCTGGCCTGTCCTGTTGAGATGAAGAGTCTGCTCCTCAGCCCCCTGTGATCTCACATATAGAGTTTGCCTGAAAGCCATTAGATTGTTTGCCCTTTCAGGCAACGTCTTCAAACACCCACCAGGTGGTGCAGCAGTCGGGTGCAAGCCTGCAGCCAGAGCCTCACCGCATGGCGGCTGATGACGCTCGCACACTTCAGCGTCTCTTCTCTCGTGGATGTCACCAACAGGGTGAAGGGCGAGGGTGTGAGGTCCACAAACAGATACCTGGACATGAATCCCAGCTCCACTCGCCGATGCTACCGACTCTGTGAAAATGACTTAATCCACTACTTTCTACACTGTCCACCTGCGAAAAGTGGGAAATCAGGGTCTACCTCAACAATCTGGGGAGTTAAAGGCACCACCCATGGAGAGTGGCACAGTGCCCGGCACACAGTGAGCGCTTGGTAGCTGGTGTCACTGTGACGGTATCAGAGCCAATTGTGGGGCCGTCCGGGTCCCTGGAGACTGGAACAATAAGGAAGCCACACTGGGATCTGAAATTTCTTGGCTCATCTGAGTGTGAGGTGGCCCTCGGGGACTAGCGCAGCCAATATCTCCTGGGCCACTCAGGTACTGCGATCATACCTAGAAAGGTCAGGGGAGCCAGACTGAGACTCAGCTTTTTCCTCCGCCGCTGGAATGTCAGCTTCCACTGTCCAGAAAGCACAGCCCAGGGCAGAATTACAGCTTCCTTTCCAGCCTGAAAGCTACCTACTAGCAAGGCATGGGGTCTGGGGGTGCTTCTTTGATCTCTGTCCCATCCATTCTTCCCCAAATCTCAGGCCCAGGACCTCCCGCCAGTTTCTGATCTTTTGTCCCAAGTCAATTCATGAACAGTCATAAATTGCTTTGAAGATAAAAGCAACCTCACTGCACCAGGATACCGCTATTATTTTAATAAGTGGAGCCTGCACATGTCTTCTTGACATATGAGCTGTTCAAAATATTTGTCTTGTTTTGCAGTTCAGCTGCATGGGAAAAGTACTTGCACTGTCTCTCGTGTATCCTCCTCCATACCCCACTGTGTGCAATGAGCTCTCTTTGCATAAAAATGTTTGCCTTTTCTCCAACGAAAAATTGATGTTTCCCTTGGGGGATGTGCCTCTGTTAGCCAAAACTCAAGTAATTATTTTTAGAGATATGTACTTTTTAAATGTCTAATTTATTGCAGGGCTTACACATGCCAATACAATGTATAATACCACTTGAAAGGAAACAAAGGTCCATGCACATTGAAAAAAAGAAATAAATATGTGAACATAATAATAGATTAACATATAAACATAAAAATAGATGTTGCTTACAGAAGAGCAAGAGAGCATGTTAATTCTCTAGATCTACCACGAATGGCTCTTTTATACCCAGAATAAGAAGAGCCTTTTAAGAACGTGTCTCTGGGGAGCACATTTCACCCTGTCATGGCACGCTGCTTGGACCACCCCATTCATCCTTCTTCCAGCATTACCGCCATCGAGACAGTACCAGTGTCTTCACCTGCACAGGTTCACTGGCAACACCAGGGCTGGCTTCCGCGCTGGTGGCTGGGACTAGGCAGACAACAGTGGCTGGTGGTGGCCCGCCACCAGGGGCTTGGAAGCAGTCCGTTCATAAAGCCTGGACCTTGTACTAGCACCGAGGAGCGGCCCTTACATCTGCCACAGGCTGCAGGCTTTGTCTGTTGGTCTCCGCTCCAAGCCTGATCGATGTTCATCTTAGTCTGGTTTTGCCTCTCCTCAGTGGACACCAAGGTGTGGTCTTCCAGGCCATACCTCAGGAAGACACAAGTCCATGAAGCCCGGTGGGTCACTCCTTGGAAAGAAGTCAGTACCTTCCCAGGCTACCAGGCCTTCTCCTCTGCCTTGGGCAGAGGTCATTGAAATTCTTACTGGAACCGTTTTCCCAGTAACTGCTTTCTTCAAAGTTTTTATGGGAAGCTGATCTGACGTTCTGTAGACCTGGCTTTCTGGGCTTAGCCAGGAGCCTCAGCCTGGCTCCGTGAACTGCACTTGAACCCGAGAAGCACCACGAACCCTAACCTCACCAAGGCCCTCCTCTCCGCTAAACTCCCAAAAGGCCCATCGCCCGCATCCTGCCGGAGTCTGTTAGTCTGTTGTACACTGCCTGTGGCATCTGGGGCATCGCTCGGTCCACCCTGTAATTTGATTTTTCGCATATGCCTTGTTTCTTCAACTAATTTGTGCTTAGCACAGAAGGAAGATACAGCTCATTAAATCCACACCTAGGAATTTCTGTCCCAGGGTGCCTGCTGAGGACTGGCAAGTCTGCCAGCATATGTTAAACTGGATACACCCTGTAACATTTCAGTACCCTCACAAGGCACACATGTGTTCCAGAATATTCCCTGAAATACCTGGTCAGAAGATCACCTCCACATCTAACAAGATAAGTGAATGCGTTCAAAGGTCTTTGGTGTCTCACAAGAGCAAACCATTCTGGCTACCCCTGCACCCAGCATCCCTATGCCCAGCCCCACCAGGGCTCAAAGTAGGTTGATGCAGAAAACCGAATCCCTTAGGTCAAGCTTGGGCACGTGTGAGCTGCATTTGAGCCATGGATTCCAGGGAGTGGCAGGTACTTCTTCTTGGGAACTGAAAGAACGTTCTGGTTTATTGACCTTTTCCAGAAAGGGCCAGCTTCACTTTGGGGCCAACATAGCTCCGTGTGGTCAGTACTGTTGGAGCCAGAAGGGGATACCGCCCCTCCCCTCTAGCCCTGCTCCCAGGTGTGGCCTGCCGAGGAGCTGCTGTTGACTGTCCAGCCATTAGCCTGTTTCCTTGCTGTGCCAAAACTTAGACGCCAGATGCCTTTTCTCCTCCAGGGAAACCAAGCTCCACACACCTGGCTTTGTTGGCAGGTTTGAACATGGATTGCAGAGTCTCTGACACTGACAGGTCCAGCCAAGCCATTGGCATGTGTCCTGGGGTCTGTGCGCAGCAGTCTAAGGACTCTGGGCCTCCTCCTGCAGATCTTGCTCAGCTGCCAGGGCTCCAGCACACAGCCACTGGCCCATGTATAATTGATGACATAATAAAAGCTGCTCTGGCTGCAGGAGGAAATATGATATGGCATAAATCACCCTGCCACAGCAAAATGAGGTTGGAATCCAAAATTTAAGAATGATGACTGCTCATTACAGGCATCATCAGATAAGGCATTCTTCTCATATCACATACCTCTGCATGAGAAACGAGGAGCTGCTTACAGTCTCCCTTTTTGCAGACTGGGAGGAGAGAAGGAGATCGCTGTTCTTGGAGTACCTGGATGTGCCAGACATGTTGCTCTTGGTTCTTCTGGCTTACCTCTCCCAGCAAGCTGACTGGGGCAGATTTTGTTTAACAAATTGGGGAATCAAGTGGTTTAGGCTGTTAAGCTTCTGTAATCAAATGCCATAGACTGGTCAGCTTAGAAACAACAGGGATTTCTCACAGTACTGGAAGCTGGAAGTCTGAGCTCAGGGTGTCAGCACGGTTGAACTCTGGTAAGGGTCCTCTTTCTGGTTCATAGATGACACCTTCTTGCTGTCTTCTCACATGGAAGGAGGGACAAGTCAGTCCTCTGGTACCCTTGTAATAGGGGCACCAACCCCATCCAGGAGGGCTCCACTGTCTTGAACTAATCTTCTATGAGAAGCTCCAAATATTATTGCATGGGAGGGACAGATTTCAATGTATGGATTTTGGGAGGTGCTATGATTTATATCTAGATGTCATCTAGAGCCTCCTGTGCTCACAGTGGGGCTTTTAGGAGAAGATTGGATTGTGGGTGTGTGACATTCATCAGTGGATTAGTTCAATTATGAGTTTATAGCTGAATGTGATGTTAAGGCAAAGCCTGGTTGGAGGTGGTGGTCACTGGGGATGTGGACTGGAAAGATTGTTCTCCCTCTTCCTTCCTTGATCTCTCTCTCTCTCCTTCCTGCCACCACGCTGTGAGCCACGACTTCCTGCCTTGGAACCAGCTGACTATGGATTTAAACCTCTACAAACTGTTAGCTAAATTAAACCTTTCCTTCCTTAGAGTTGTGTGTGTTGGTATTGTGTCTCAGCAACAAGAAAGTAAGGAAGATGGGGACACACTCACTGTACATCACTGAGACTCAGAATGAGGAAGTTTTGCCAATGGGTGTTCTGGGAACATGCATGGCACACACAATTCTTAACTGAGTCCTGAACATCCAGGGCCCCTTCTAACACCACAAGACCAAAATAAGACGTTTGGGGCCACAATCATCTGAGGAAAGTAGGCTTTGGGTGGCCCTAGTGAGAGTGGGAGCAACTCAGAGGGAACAGAGGCAGCACGGGCAGCCCTGAGCCTCAGGATGTGTGGGCAGCACCCTGGCACTAAGTGGGGAGTACAGAATCTGGGACCTTAGACCTACTACGGTAAATGAGGGAAACATGTACTACAGCCCCAAACCTCAGTGGATTCTCGTCCATAAGGCAGCATGCATGTCGAGACGGGCAGCTAAGGTCTTGTCTATCTTATTCCACCATGGTGCCTCTGAAGGCATTGCACATCATCAGTGCTTTGGAAACGCTGATGAATGAGTGGTTTTTATGAATCCAGGGTGACCGCCACCCAGCCCTTTGCTTTCAGTGGTGCATCTCCTGAACTTAAGTGTGCTTACAAGGAGAAGCCGGGCCTAAGGTGCTGGCTCATTTGACACCAATAGCTCAGGTGGACGATGCCTTTGGCCAAGAGTCTGTGCTGAGCGTGGGGCCCTGGCCCTGATGATCCCAGCACAGACAGGTAAGCAGCAACACTGACTTCCCTGCAAGTGATGGGAATCAGGGCTGGGCAAAGGAGGCAAGGGAGCAAAGAGTCTCAGCGCTAAAGGTACAAACAAAGGGCCGCACTGTGGAGAAAATAAGCACAACCCAGTCTACAGAGAATAAAACCCACGGCATTACTGCATGAGCCCAGGGTCTTCAGAAGAGAAGTTCCCAACGTGAACGAAACAGCTTTCCTTTTACCAAACATGACCTGGTATTCACATCCTGGTTCAAACCCACATATCTGCTCGTTTCCCCTGTGGGAAAGGAAGCAGGAAAGAGAGGAAGGCGGTAGGCTCACCAGGCTCTGAGCCCAGGAGAGGTCCCAGTGGCCTCTTCCTCAGGTGCTCTGAGACAGAAAGGTGGGGAGATCGAGCTTGAAAGGAGGCAAGCATGGGGCCTTGATGGACGAAGGGTGGGGAGGAGGAGCAGTGCTGCTCTGCACTGTGCTTCCCCTGTGGGGTTGTCTTTGTCCTTTTTTCCCTACTTCTCCTTCTTTCCTTCCTTCCTTCCTTTCTTCCCTCCCTCCTTCCTTCCTTCTTTCCTTCCTTCCTTTCCTCTTCCTCTTCCTCTTCCTCTTCCTCTTCCTCCTCCCTCCCTCTTCCTTTCCCTCCCTCTCCCCTTTTCTCTGTATGGAGAATTGAACACTTGCCTTTCTGATTTTGGGTCAAAGTCTTGCTAAAACACTAAGTTGCCCAGCTGGGCTTAAACTTGCAATCCTCCTGCCTCAGCCTCCAAGAGTACTGGGATTATAGGCATGCACCCCCGTGCCTGGCTTCTTCATCTGTTTTGTACAGCTATGAACAAATACCTGAGGCCAGGTAATTTATAAAGAACAAAGATTTATTTCTTAACAGTCTGGAGGCTGAGAAGTCCAAGGTGGAGGTGCCCACAGCTGGGGAGACCCTTCATGCTGCATCACCCAAGGTGGGGGGAGGGCAGGTGAGCTGGACAGAACAGGAGAGGCTGGACTCACTTCTAGAACAACCAGTTCCCATGATGATGACATCACCCTTTGGTGAGCACAGAGCCCTCATGACCTTACCACTCATAAAGTCATCATTGTTACAGCAAAGTAGTAGGATGGTGTTACGGTTTGTGTCTGGATGTCTCCCTAAAGCCTCATGCAGTCATGGGGCGGGCTTCTAGAGTTTATGATTGATCCATGATTCAATGCTGGGATTATGGATGTGAGTGCTACACCAGCCCCTGGGGCAGGGAGTTTGCATACAATGTAAGGCAGGGGAAGAGGCTGCTTGCCGTAGATCCTCCCCTTGTGCTCTTGTTGCTTTTGCTGTCTTCCACCACTGCGAACTGTTGCCCTCTGCCATGTGCCACTCTGCCTTGGAACCAGCCGAGTATGGACTGAAACCTTCACAAACAGTGAGCTAAATAAACCTGTCCTTCCTTAATTCTGGGTGTGAGGTATTTTGTCTCAGCAATGAGAGAAAAGAAACCAAGACAGATGGGCAATCAATACAAATTTTTAATCATGAAATCATATTTCCTTGGGTTAAAATCCAGTGTGGAAAAGGAATGGAAATACAATATGAAGATATCAGATTTCCAAAGCTAGAAAAGGAATGACTATGTGTATTTAAATGGATGAGAATTTACATCAAATACTTTTGTATTTATGTCCCAAAAGATATGGTTTTGAAGGAATAATGGAGCCATCTTACTTGAAAATGTCTATATTGATGGTATGTAGAAAGTTCTATCATTTGTAGTCATTTAAATCTTTGAAGAAAATAATTTAAATGTCATTTAAAATGTACAAGGGAAGAGAGATTTAAAACATTCTTTTAAGGCACAGGTTAGGAAAAAGTTTGGAAAACAGTTGTGGAACTATCAGATTGGAGGCATGAGGAACAAACCCAAGCACTGCCATATTATTTTATTTTTTAAAATTCCCAAGATTTTATATCAAATAAATTGTTTTTGCATAGTCCTCAACTTACAGTTGCATTACCAGCCCAAAACAAGATGAATCCCTTGCTCTATTCATTTCCCTCAGCTTTCTGATCTCACGTTTGGGACTCAGGCATGTGGAAATCAGTTGGACTTTGTGTAAGTCAGCCACATTGGATGTACATGATTGAGTACAGACGCCACTGAGTGTAGGAGTCAATTTTTCTATTGTCATCTGATTGGTAAGTGGGTGACACACAACTGCATGGAGTATAATGTTAGATCAGGCTGTATGTAGAATGTTCGATCAGGCTGTGTGTATAACATTAGGCAGGCTGCATGTGTAACGTTAGGTCAGGCTGTATGCATAAGGTTAGGTTAGGTTGTATGTATAAAGTTAGGTTAGGTGTATGTACAATGTTATATCAAACTGCTTATCTGGCTTGTGTTTTAAACAGTACAGACAATGGTTAGCAAAGAAAGAACCTGACAACTCTGGTTTAATCTTGCCCAGAACCTCTTCTCCCTGGACGTCTGTGCCTGGGAGGAGAAGACGCAGAGCCTTGAGCAGGGACGCCCACTCCCCCAGGTCCGATGCGCCTCCATGGTGACCCAGGGTTAGTTTTGAGAGACTGGGACACTGCTGCGCTCGCAGACCTCCTGCCCCTCTGCAGGTGCTCACGGGCGTGTGACCTGGGACCCTTGCGGGTCCAGGCTGTGCTCTGACCTGCCCTGGAGCATTTGCATGGTAGTGCAGAGCCCTCCCTCACGATGTCTCCTAAATAGAGGGCTGTGGGTTTCAAAAGCATTGGAACTTCAGGGATTGGGAAAATCCCACAAATACTAATCTTTAGCACTGAGAATTCTCCTCCTTTTGTGTACTTTTTACTATTTCATTTGTTTGTTTAGTCCTTCATTCATGCTACCATTCAATAGATGTTACTTTCTGATGCAGCTTTAGGTTCTCACCTGTCTTGAGTGGGTGGTGACCGAGCCTCTAGGACTCATGGCCTTTCAGGACATCCATCTGCTGACACCCAAGCGAGGGAGGCTCCAGGCCCATGTTTCTGAGAGAAAGAAGGAGCAGAGACAGTCACACCTCATGCAGGCAGGACGAAGGTTGCCGCCCCGCATAGCACACAAAGCCCACAAGGACGAAGTCCACACAACCTGATACCCACCACCACACCGGGAATCGGTCTCCCGCAACTCTCAGGGATGAACCCTCACCCAACTGCACAGCTGGGCAGTGAATCAGAAAGCACTCTGGGAGCGCTAAGACGTTAGAGGAGGTGGCGAAACAGCACCACTAATATGGGCCTGCCCTAGAGCCCGCAGTGTCCCAAGCTGCTGTGACGCTGTCTCCACCTTAAATGTAGATGGTGGCTCCTTTCAAATTCAGGTGTTCTTCTTCTTTCCTCTGTCCCATACCTCCTCGTCACTGCTCCCTCTCTGCAAGGAGGAGGCGAAGTGCTTTTCCATAGACAATGAGTTCAAGTTTCCCTCTCCTGCCGCTCTGTCTCCTGAGGAAGTGCAGGGGTGGTGTAACTCCCTGCCCCAATAAATCCAACCGTTTGTTTTTTCTAGATGCTTCCTGTACCTACAAAGCCTCGAGCCAAGGAAGATCACTCCTGGCCATCACCTCTTGCCTGAAGTCTTGCCTACCACTATGAGCCTCTCTCCCTGGCCTCTCCTCATGTGGCTGAGACTGTCTTTTGGACACTTATGACTTCCCGGGGGAGATTCCCAGAGCCTAATGGGTCTCAGCTGGAAAAGGATGCAGCCTGTTTTGATAGAGTTACTTTCACACAGCCAGGCCATGGCACAGGTTATAAGAGTTTGTGCCTATTATGGAGAAGACCCACCAGACAACCCAACGCCAGAGGATTTTGGTTTGGCTCAAATGTTCCTCACAGCGGCTTGGGGAGCCTTCAAGGTGTTGTGTGTCATGAGGTTTCTCAAAAAAAGGAAATCACAAATCATACTGAAGGTGCTGGGTGGGCGTACTCAGGGGTGGGACAGTTGCCAGCAACAGTGAGGCCCTGGGTTCAATCTCCAGTTCTGCAAAAAGTAAAATAAAATCACATCATGCTGAATGTATCACATACGGCATACTTACCCTAAACTGGTCATGAGCTTGAGCACCTGACTAAGTTATCCTGCAGAAACTGCAGTGTTTCTTGAGGTCCACTTCCCGAGTGGGGCAAAAGCTCAGAACTGCAGTTTGTGATGAAGATCAAAGCCTGCAATAGATTTTGGTGAAACTGGCTGAGGTTCAATGCTCTGCTAAAACCAGGAGCAAGCGGAGGTCACAGATTTCAAAGGGAAGCCTTTGCTCAGCAACAAGGCTTACGACGTCTCATTTAGAACCTTGTCTTCAGACGCAGAGGCCTCTTCAGTACGTCCATTGCTTGAAAGTATTCTAACAACCACAGGGAGTATCTTGCCCATGAATCACAATCTGCTGGGTGCTAGGAGAAATCAATCAAATGAGCGTCATTTTCCTGTGGACCATTTGGAGGACTCAGATAACAGCACTTGGTGGCTGCAGGCCACATTTTTTTCAGACCTGAAGTCGAATTTGCCATTTGAATTTGTTCTAAGGCAGGCAGTGAGTGTCTGGAAAGATAAATACAAGGGGGGATTATTGGAGTGAACAGACTTTGAATACATTTTCTAAGTGATTCTTGCCCCCGAGATTCACTAGTCCCAGGGTTCGATCCCCTGGCCGAATCCTACTAAATCCCTTTACCCGTTAGTGCCTGGATTCTTTCTCTGAGTGGCAGAAGAAGTTAATTAGCCTACAGGTACCTCTCAGACTGTGAATCAAAACAGCCAAAGGCAAAGAACTGTACACAGACGCTGAGAATTGCAGGCTCCCACCCTCCGAGCCACCCCACAGCCAAGCCTCACCCCTCACCCAAGCGGCCCAACCGTGCTGCCATCCCAGCCTGGGACGGTTCGGTTTGGCCCAGGCTTAGCCACCCGAGTGCTGACCCTATGCTTAGAATTTCCTACGCACGAAAAGCAAAAATGAGTGAGCAGAAACCTCCACACTGACGGCTTGAAGTGACAGCTGGACTGATGTTTACCTTACCCTGTGACAGAGAAATCGTTAAGCTGATTCAGAAGTGGAGAATAACTTAAGCACAGGCATACACGTTTTTAAATCACTTCTGAAAATACCTCTGTGCGCAACAACCAATGCTTAAGATAAGTGCTTCTTCCCTTGTGCCAAATCAGGTCTGTTTGATCACAACTGTGCTTTCTGGCTGGGGTCAGAGGCATTCAAAGAAGGATCCACAACAGCTCAGAAGGAGTCTGAGAGGGGGCCCAGCAGATGGAAGTCTTTCCAAGAGAATTTAAAGTGGTTACCAAGCTGTGTAGATAAACCTACAAAAGGTATCAAAATAACGAAGGACATAAGGATTGACCAGCAGAAAGGTGAACATACTTCCATAGGGTGGTGAATATACAGCAAATGCATATCTCTTTTCAGTCAAAAAATGCTAATGTATGAGTTGTTTTTTCTAAGCTAAACCCTCAATATTCAGGTTTAACTGTAGTGTTGGCACTTTGCAGTAAGTAAGTGGGTTTGGGTTGCAGTGGGCACTTGTCTCTAAAAGGTTCACCATCACTGAATTAAACATACATAACAATCCCTCTAGAGAAAAGTACAAATTAGGCTCTGGAATTTCAGGCAGCCAATATATACGGGAAATGCCATCAATTTCATTAAACTACTACATCCACAAGTATAGAGTCGCTTCAGGACAAACAGCTATTCAGGCGGGGTGGGGCTATTCAAGCAATTGTCCCTTTTTTGCCAGAACTGAACGCTTCCTTGGGTACATCCCTGTCAATGCTGAAAGCAGGAAAGCCCCTGGCAAGCCAGGATAAATTGGTCCCCTAAAGGGCCCTCCTGGCACGAAGCCCCCTGCCTCCACCTAGAAGGCAGACCACTATTAGAGCACACATGTTTATCCCAAGCCTCACAGCTGCAGGAGGCCCCAGGTTCCACAGGCACTGACCTTGGGGTGAGGACAAGCTGTTGGCTCCATGTTTATAAATCATGTCAAAGCCACAGGGTGTAGGGGACTGAAAGGACAGTGGAGAAGAGAGGGCACTTTCCTGTGGAAGCCCAGCAGAAGCACGGCTTTGATTTTGCTTGTGCTACAGCTGCATGGAGAGAATAAGAAAGGAAAAAAACACCCATAAAGGGCCTTGTGAAACAGCCTCGAGCCACCTGCCCCCAGCAGGCCCTGCTGGGCATGCTCAGTGTTGCAACAGCTGGTGTCATAGCAGGGGAACTTGCACAACAGACCAGCTCTTCCCTGTTCCTGGCTGGCTTGCCTTGCCTCAGCCTACCTTGGACTGTCCTGATTAGCTCATGGGAAAAGCCCTTAGACTGATTCTTGGCAATAAAAGGCAGAGATGTGGAACCTCAGACTAAATAAGACAGCTTCCATGGTGGCCTTGTATCTCATGTTGTAGCTAAAAGCTAAGCTGCCCCCATACAAGACACTCCCTTCCTTTTATAACCAATGTTCTGACACCAACATCCTGTGCTGGAACATTCTGTCCTGTGCCAGCAGGGCCTTTCATCTCAGCAGAGTGCATAATAAACACTGGGACTCTCGCTGCCCTATTCTAGGAACGCATCATAACTCTGCCAGGACTTTCCAACATTGTCTTCCTTGGAAGCCTGACAGTTACCACAGTGCCCCAAGCAAGAGAATGGTGTCCCCTGGTGGTCATTTCTTCTCAGGGTCTCTCTCGGTGTCTGCCTTCCGCCATTTTGGATAATGAGGCAAAGGCTCATTACTTCCGGAAATTTCTTACAAAGATCCCACTGGGACAATTTTCTGGATCTCCGCAGGGAAAGTAGTAGATATTTTATTACACACTGCATTGCTTCAGCTGACATGCATCTGAGATTGAGGGGTAGGCTGGGGCAAACTTATTTTTAAGAATCTTGATTTTTATGCATCTTGTTTTTAATGTTTGTTTTTTAGTCATATATATATAGTCATATAGTCATATACATATATCTCCTTTATAAAAACAAAAGTCTCAGTTTATCTTTCTTGAAGTAAATGTGCCAAATCCTTCAATTTATACTTTTTGACATAAACTTAACACATTAAAAAATGTGGGAGGGGGTGTTGGTGTTCTCAAAGGGTTGATATCCCAACTAACATTTCCATGGCTTCCTAAATAAATGCCCTCATCTGAATATTTTTCATCACGTGCTCTGGATACAAAACTCAGAGGCACAGTCTACACCCTTGAGGAAGTCCTAATTTATTAAGAGACAAGGATAAATGAATGGTCATAATAAGTGTGATCAACCTTATAACATACTTGCATGGGGATTGTAGAGAGCCAGAAAAGGGCACATTCCTGGGCTGAGGGGAGGAAAACTTCTCAGCAAATTAAGGAGGAACACATTTTGATATTCAAGTGATACTAGCCATGGAGAAAAGCAGACCTCTGTGACAGGCAGGTGTCCTCTCCTCCAAATGCAGGACATCACACTGAGAAAGTAAAGCAAGGCCAGATCCCAGCGGGTTTTGTGCTGCAGGCTGGGGAGTTCCAGCTTTACTGTGTGAGGGCTGGGGATTTATAGTTCAGGCTTTTAGACTGGAAAGTAACGTGGTCAGAATTGCTTCCAACGCCATGGTGTAAGTAGGAACTGCCCCCTGAAGATTCATGTATGGAGGGCCTGAGCCCCAGGGCAGCAGTGTTCACAGGTGCGGCCTAGAGTGTTCACAGGGCAGCAGTGTTCACAGGTGCGGCCTAGAGTGTTCACAGGGCAGCAGTGTTCACAGGTGCGGCCTAGAGTGTTCACAGGGCAGCAGTGTTCACAGGTGCGGCCTAGAGTGTTCACAGGGCAGCAGTGTTCACAGGTGCGGCCTAGCAAGGAGACTGCATCGTGATGGTGTCAGCCTCATCGAGAAGCGAACACTGGTAACCGCTGAGGAGCTCTTAGCCCAGCGGGCTGTTAGGAGGTGGGCCCGGACGGGGGTACCTTTGAAGGGCGTATCTTGCCCCTGCCGCCTTCTTCTCTGGCTCTTGCTTGGTCTTGCGCTCTCTGGATGCCGTGATGTGAGCTGCTCTCCACGCCACGTCCTTCCACCGTGATGCTTCTGTGTCAGGGTCAGCTGACCATGGACTGAAATGTCTGAAACTGTAAGCCAGAAGCAATCATTTCCCTTTCAAGTTTTTTCTCAGGTATATTTGGTCACAATGACAAAATCTGACTAATACTTATAGTGTTTCTATAAAGAAAAAGTATGATTGAGAATAGTTTCAAGGCAAAGAATTAGCTAAGGGCCTTTAGCAATGGTCCAGAAGACGAAGGATAGAATTAAGTGGCGGTGGCGGGGGTGGAGAGGAGGGAAAATCACGTGAGGAGGGAAACCTAAAAGGATTGTACGAGTATCGGCTATGAGAGATGAGGAAAAGGGAATACCAGAAAACACAGCTCTGCAAAGCAGCCTGCCCTGGAACGTGCTCCAACCCCATTAGGCGGGAAATCCTGGACAGGCCTTTTCCTGTATGTGTGGGAGCTCAGAGGCTGGGGCCCAGGTGCAGCTGGAGGGGGCTATTCTTCCACTGTGCCTCAAGCTGAGAAGGTGTGGAGAAAAAGAGTAGCTTATGGGATACAGTGGCCCTATGCTCAGGCTTAAATCTCCTGCCCCATTCTCCTCTGCGTGTGGGATGGAGATAAGGCGCAGGGGCACTTTTGAAGGCACTGGTGCTCAAACCAAAATCCAAGAAGTTCGGGACCACCTCGGTTCAACCAAGTTTGAACAATCCTACTTTCTGCACGCTCTTTGCACCGCTTGCCTTTGCTTACACTTGGAGTAAATCTTGAGCACGTTCTGCTTGATACTCACAGAGTACATACAGCATGTTCTCCCTGTGACAGGAAAACACACTCAGAGGCCACCTGAGCGGTTAGCGGCTCCCTGGAAGGCCTGTCCCCCTCTGCCGTTAGCAGCCGAGCTGGGTGGCTCTGAGGGTCGCTGCCAGCCGCTCTTGTGAGGACCACTGTGCAGGCAGTGAAGAATTTATAAATGGATGGATATGAGTACAGAGCAGAGCGGTTCCTGTAAAAGCTGTAGTGGAGTATCTGGAAATATCCAAAATGCCGCAAAAGTCCTGCTACTTTCTGAATTGTATATTGGCAAGAAAACCGTAAAAAAATGGAGAAAAACAATGGAGCACTCTGGAAGGGTGCTGCCCTCGGACGACTCCCTGTAAGCCTTAACGCCATGCTGGAGGGGAGGGTTCCTGGGTGTGGTTTGGGTCAGAAAGCCAAAGAGGAAGCACACGAGGCAGACCCAGGCCGGGCAGGAAGGCCTCGGCCCGCACCCACGCTCTGCGGCGGGAGGGACCTTTGCGTTGAATTTAAGTAAGATGGTTAATGAACATACATTTCTCCACCGCTTTATTTTCCATGATTGGGATAATTATTTCATGAGTGATCTCTCACCTTCCCCCTGATTAGAAGACAGACCCGAGGTCTCACTCCCTTGCCCTGATCGCAGCAGTCACCTCACCTGCCTGTCTTCCTCTGCCCTCGGCTCTGAACTGCCCTCCCCGCTTGCCTG